CAGTTAACTCATTTTTAAAAAGTCACAATTTGTGTTCATTTAATTTGGATTTGGATACATTTAGTGTAATAAAGATTTTTGAAAGCTTGGTGGAAGGTTATTGAAATACTTAGCTTGTTAAATAATGAAGACATTTAATCATCTTGACATAGGAACATCTGAGAGTTAAAAAATATTTCAACATTTTAAAATACTTGGGGATACATGGCGAAACAGTAATTTAAAAATTTAAATCCTTCAAACCATAAACAAATAGTAGTATCTCAATTTGCATGTAATAAAATACATGCTTGTAATCAGGCCTGTCAAAACCTGGTTATACTGATAAGGACAAATAAACATTTGAAAATATTGAGAAATTATGTCAGTATATACAAACACATTTTAAAATTTTCTATGTTATTTCCGTATAATTTTTTAATAAAAAGTAAATCTGAATAACTAATTTCAAATTCAGTATTGCTTTGTGATATGAATTTCTGTAATGTTTTATGAGCAATGTAGATTTTGAAAAATGTGCTTCTAGTTGAGTAAAAGGTTTTTATAATGCCAGTGATTTCCTCAGTGAGAGTGACTATTTCATGCCTTAGAGATTATTATAAAGCTTGAGAGCAAAGCATTTCAAAATGCACAGGTGTTGTGCTAATGCATTTCTTGGAATTACATCCAAACACCAGATAAATTTTAGCATTCTTGGGATCAATAATTGGAAATTGAGTTTCTGTTCTTTATCACACTTTGCTGAGGAAATCTAGAAACATAACAAATGTATTTATATTGTCAATACGATATATGACATTTTGATATAAATGAAAAAATTCATTGTGATAGTAGATTAAATAATAGCATTTTACTACCTAAATAACAATGATGAAATTTCACATTAAAGCATTATATTTAAATCGAAGGTGAGTTAACAATACTATAGTTACTTGCACTGTCATGAGTTCCTGACATTTACATTGATACTAAATTTTTATTCTTACAGTGTTGAAGTCAAAAACATCAAAAACTCAATAGCTGTGAAAAAAATTAAAAACTTGGATTAAAAAAAATCTACTCTACCATTTACTTGTTAAAAAATATTAAATGTGCCTTTTTTGTCCTACTCACAAGCTAGGAAACAAAATGCCATATCAAGTCTAACACTGTTTTATAATCACACCGTATTCTGTTAAGCTTCTCACTGCCATCACAATTTGGCACTATTAGCTGTCCATATGTTACAGACTATTATTAACTATATTTGATGTAGGAAAAAAACATAATAGAATGCCGGCTTAAAAGAGAACAAGAGCCATGACCTAAATAGAAAGTTTCAACAATTATCACGCTTACTGTCGTTTAAGTAATGCATTTTAAATTTAGGTTTAAGGCAAGTTTCATTCAGTCTGCTTTCCTTCTCCCTTTGTCACATATTAAATGGAAAATTGTTCCCCAATTGTCTAGAGTCTCAGGACTTCTTCAGTGCATCTTCAATCAGCTGCAATTTATTATTGTATTTGTTCTCTAAGAATGTCTATTTATTGATTGAAAAGTTAAAGAAGAACAGACAATGCTTATACTATATGTATGCCCTCCTTGGATATCTCCTTGGTAACAGGTAATTTATCTTCTTCCTCTTCATGCACTCTGTACCATCTAGTACAATGCCTTGGACATAATATTATTTAACATATATATATATAAATTTTGAATAGTCTCAAATAATTTCTGGGTGCCTACTGTGGCCATATATTGTACCAGGGCTTAATGTAATTCAGATATTGTGTTAGTTGCAGTGGCTCACTTTCCCTTACATTATTTAGTAAAATGAGAAATTCAAACTTACCCTGTCTGTTGAGGCAGATTTATAGTTGTTTTGAGCTTTAGTAGTTAGATTCTTAACACCATGGGCAAAAATATTAAGTATTGTTTAATAAATTGCCAATTCATTATGATGTTCTTTTTATAGTTAAGAGAGGCAAATTTTTAATTTCCTATTTTAAACAGTAATGCAATAAAATGATAAGCTTTATTTTTTAACAATGGTGTATCACCTTTTGTAACACCGGATGTATTTCATTTCATGTCTGACACTTTTGCATGATATACATGTACAGATAAATAGATTGAGTAATGCCTTTTTTGTTCTTAATAATTTGAAAATATTAATGTCATAATTTTATAAAGTTAAATATCTTTTAAATTAAATTGATGTGTTTTAACTTGTTAAACTATATGTTTGATAGACTTTATACTTCTTTCTCTGGTGAGGTTAAATTAAAGACTTCAAGGTAATAGAAAGTTCTCTTAATACTCTCCAGTTTCTAGCTCAAAACTAATAAAACCACCGTGTCAGTAGAATATCTGCCCAAGATAGGATGTGGGGAACAGCAGTGCTTTCTCTCGCTACATGCTGTGGTAGTTCTGTTTAGGGAGTTCTGCCTAAGCAAAGCGTTAAGTCTAAGCATTGTTGAAAATTTATCACATTTAATTCTTTCAATAACTATGTTTAACTATTACTGGTTTTAGAGCGGAGGAAAAGAAATTCCCTAAATTGCCCAGACATGTGGCTAGCTTTTGCTAGAGCTAGATTTGAAATTCAGTCAGTCATATTTCCCAAGAGAAGTGTCTTCAAGAAAATAGTTTTATTCAATCCCTTCCTTAGGCCATACTCTAAGTTGAATTGGAAAATCCTGCAGGTAAGCACAGTGTTTAATCTTTTAGTTTGTTTTATTGTTTAGCTTAGGTGGCTGGTTGTTCTAATAAAGAGCTAGGCAAGAGCACATGGAGAATTTTCCACACAGAAATACACCACCTCCACTTGCCTTGTGCTGTACTTAAAATTGCCACATTTATTGTTGTTCTAGTTATGTTTTCTTAGATTCTGTGTATCTATTAATCACCAGGCCAAACTATCAGCCAAAGTATTTACCTCTCTCCTGTAAGTCACCTTGCCTGGAACTGGCCTTTCCTGTGAGGATCGAAGGCTATGCCCCCACCCACCTTCTTATCTCATTCTCACACACCAAGTCAATGTTTCCCCTGTCCTAAATCATTCCAGGGTCAGGTACCAGGTGCTAGAGACCACCCCTGTAGCCCAGAAATGGCTAGAATTACTCAAACTAGCCAGTCTTACACTGTATACCCTGCCCTGACTTGCCTTCCTACAGAAACCCCAATTAAGGCCTTGGCTCAGGCTTTCCCCTCACTCAAGTCTTCTACCTCCTGACTCCTGGTGTTTCCCATGTGAGCCTGTGTGCCCCTTCTATAGGAAAATGTAAATAATATATTCTTTCAATGACATTGGCCTCTCTATCAGCACTCAGTGATAGCTTTATAAATTAAGAATAAATGTCACATGAGTTCATAACATCTGTGGCACAGAATAAACGTCCCATTAGTTCATAACATCTATGGCACTACTAGTCCTTTACATCATTTGCACATGTCTTTATTAGAATAAGGAACAGAGCATGGATCTTACTTATAAAAGTATCTATAACTTCCACCCTTCACCCCAGATAAGGTAGACTACTGAAGGATATTAAGAATGTGGACACCTGGATTGGTAGACATTTATTAACTTACTATTGTTTAACATCATTTATGAGAGTAGTAAATGTCTCTCCACTTCTAACAATACATTCTGATTGGGACAAATTATATTTATCTCAGTTGGAAGAAAAAGGATTCTACCTGAAATCAGTCCCTGGAAGTATTTTTTAAATTTATAAATGGGAAATAGTATATTTTAATTTTTTTAAATGTAATAATATTTATCTGTGATAAAGTTAAAAAAGCAAGCTTTTTTTCCCACTAATAATCATTGAGCATGGATTGGGTTACAGCATGAATGAATAAGCAATAGTCATAATATGCTCATGTAGTTGAATAATTTTCTACCTAATTGCACATTAGATACACTAAGATCAATGGGGCTACTCTAAAAAATAATTCTGTACTTTTGATAAGTGAAAACAAACATGCTTAGAGATAAATAATGATTCCTAAGCTTATGCTTTTGTTAATTCCCCTGTAAATATAGTTAAAACAAGCAACAATATCAAAAACAAGCTACAAAATCTATTGCAATTAGTGCTTTTTAAATTTGTCATTTTTAGTTTGATTACCCTCATGGGATCAAGAGATGAATCAAAATCTCCTTGGAACAGTTGGATATGTGAATATTATGTTTATATTCAGCATATTTTGAGAGATATTTTAAGATAAGAATATTACTACACTAAATTACTTAAATGCAGCTTAATGTGAACTAATTTTCTAGAAGTTGTGCTAAGGTGAATCTATGCCAAGCTACTTTTATATTTAGTAGCTTTTGGGACACTGGGATCTAACTTCCCAGTAGACCGTCTTCTGGACTGAAAATGTTGCAGTAATTTTTCTTTTCCTAGTACAAAACAGAATTACTGAACAGTGGTTTCCGAACAGCAGGAAGGTTTAATTAAATTAAAGCACTGAGTCAAGAAAACAAGCATCATGCTATTAGCATCAAGAGAACAGGGTTTCTGAATGTTGGTTTAAAAATGTAATCTTGCCCCCAGATTCTGGGAATGGAAGTCAGAATATCTTAATAAATTCATATAAAATTATTCAAGGCAAAATATAATAAGGCAGTGATAAACTTTACAGCAATTATAATTTTATTCAAATGGTGGCTGATGTACAAAATAGAGCAAAATCATTTTTTTCTATTACTACTCTTTTTAACTTGATCTCATGTTTTTATATTGGTAGGAATAAAAATTTTTCTACATTTTTCATATATGATCAAAGTGAACAAATAAGAGCTAAAAATACTTTTCTCTAGCTTAATATGCTATGTCATCTCTGATATCTCTCATTCTTAATGAAGAATTTTTGAAATGTGAATTTTTAATAATACATTTATATGAATTTTGTGTAATACAACTATATTTTACCATCTCCTTCAAAATTAAATTCCGCAAATTAAAATACATAGTTAACCTAAAATGTACTTTATTCTTAAATTGTAGGTGTCATTTTAATCACTGTTTTAATGAGAAGATTGAGAACTGACCTAACCTTGGTTTTCTGAATGATGATCCTGATCTCTATCAGTTTTGTTCCTCATGACAAGGTAAATTCACAGCATAAACAAACAGCAGCTACACATGTAGTACATAAAGAAATATTGACTACCGTAACTTTTTTTCATTGTTGTCAATGACTAAGTTAAGACGAGGGATACACAATGTTAAAATCGATTTTATTCAGGCCATTGTACATTCAGCTCAGCATGGTTTTTCAATTTTATAAACAGTAGGATAATGAGGTAAAACAGGACCATGAAATTTCTAGCAGTTTTTGTTTTTTTCTTTCCCTTTGGCCATTCAGGTTCAAATTTTAATGCTCTTAAAAGTCAAAGCTAGATGGAAATTCTGGAATTCCCAAGTAACCATGATTCATGTATGTGTCCTACATATACAGTGAATGCCCAAGCGTTTATACTTTTAAGAAACATAATAACATTGAGAAATAACAAAAAAAAATTATAAAGGAGAAATGGACTGTGTACTTTTTCCAAATGTTTAAACAAGCTGGACTTATACACTAGAGTAAATTTTAAAATGTAATTCTGAGTCATAGATATTTACTTTAAGAATATTTTTCAGATCTCTATGAAGATAGTAATCTAGGACTATCAAGCCTCTTTGAGCATGGTATCTAAAAAGTTGAGCATTCCCTAGATATAGATGCAGTATTTCACTTACCCAGTTAACATGCTTCTAACCTCCTGCTCTTATTCATATCATTTTGTATATAAGTCTTTTAGAATATCAGCCATAATGAGTGCATAAATTTTTCCCTAGCTTTTAACCATAAACTCCTATCTGGTCTTCAAATTTCAACACCAATTGAATTTTCACTGTGAAATATATATAATATATGATTCTCACATTATGATATTATTTTTGTTAGGTATATAACTATTACACACTGGTCTACATATTCTTTGAAAGTGAACATGTCTTTCAACTCTATTATAGAATAGTGTTGGCAAAGAAATAAAACATGAATCACAAATGTGATCCAAATATATAATTTTACATTTTAAAGAAATAACATTAAATAAGGTCCAAAAAAAGTTAATTTTAATGATACATTTTGCTTAACTCAATGTTATAATTTCAATGTGTAATCAGTATAAAATATTAGCAAAATATTTTACATTTTTTCCTAACTGTAATCTATTGAAAAGTATTGAAAATCTGGTGTTTATTTTACTCATACAGAATGTGTCAATTCCACTGGCCCCATTCAAAGCTCTTTGATTGCCTCATATGCCTAGTAAACACGCTATTGTGCAATGTAGATCAGAATGATATTTGAACATGACAGATACTTGTTAAATTGATGGATGTGTGTGTACACATATATATTAAAATAAGACGTTAGAAAACATGACAGTGATATAGTAAACAGTCAAATTAATAGTTGTTAAAGGGAAATATATTAGGAAAAGAAATAACATATCTATTCTGTATATCTAGCTATAGAATCATAAGTAAAAAGACATGAAAGGAAATGAACCAAATTTTAAGAAGGGAGAACAAAATGATTCAATTATAAAGTATTTCACTTTTATAGCACAATGTTTAATATGCAATTCACTTAAAGATGACTTTCATCTTTATATAAAAACGTATGTAAAAGTTTTGGTGGTGGACATGTATTATTTATATTCATAGCAGAAAAATGAAACAATATATGTTACAAAGCAAAGATGGCCAAAGTTTGCATTTTATCCAGTTAATTATTTTAGCCCTCTAAATTTTTTAAGGAAAAATTAATGTCAGTGATTAGAAAGTCATTCAAGCTATCCTGAGTTTATTACAAGAAGATGTACTTCACAGGTCCAAGGAAACACTGAACCAGTGAGCAATTGTAGAAACAAAGACACTTCCAGAGTTCCCATCCAGGGAATCTTAACAGCCTCGACCACCACTCATAGGGCAGTTTGTTTTCTGTTTGTCAATAAATTGGCTCAGTCTGCCAGTGTTCCAGTTTAAAATACTTAGAAGATACAATCTGATTGAAGACTGAATCTGCTCATTCAATCATTATGACTAGGAGAGTAAGGTTAGTCACATCATACGTAAAACTAGCCCTTTCAGTTGGTCACATGATTGTCGTGTAAATACTCTCAGGAGAAATAAAGCAATAGAATGGTATCTGTTGTAAACCTATCATATATTACAATATTATCTTCATTATATAACTGCCATCATGTAATTTGTTATATTTCTTCCCTTTCTTTCTCACTGACATACATTTGAAAAGAAACATGCCTTATTTTAATAAATAATTTAAGTTTCTCTTTAAATTTACAATACAATAAAATCTTACTCAGGAAACAAAAAAAAAATCACAAATAAAAACCTAACCTTACACCTAAAGCAACTAGAGAAAGAAGAACAAATAAAACCCAAAGTTAGTAGAAGGAAAGAAATTATAAAGATCAGAGCAGAAATAAATGAAATAGAAATGCAGAAAACAAGAGAAAAGATCAATGAAACTAAAAGCTGCTTCTTTGAAAAGGTAAACAAAATTAATGAAGCTTTAGCCAGACTAATCAAGAAAAGAAGGGAGACAGCTCAAATCAATAAAACTAGAAAGGAAAAAGGAGAAGTTTTACAACTGACACCACAGAAATACAAGCAACAATATGCCAATAAAATGGACAACTTACAAGAAATAGACAAATTCTTAGAAGGGTACAATCTCCCAAGACTGAACCAGGAAGAAATAGAAAATATGAACAGACCAGTCACAAGCACTGAAATTGAAACTGATTAAAAAACTCCCAACAAACAGAAGTCCAGGATCTGATGGCTTCGCAGGCAAATTCTATCAAACATTTAGAGAATAGCTAACACCTATCTTTCTGAAACTGTTCCAAAAAACTGCAGAGGAAGGAACACTCCCAAACTTATTCTGTGAGGCCACCATCACTCGCACACCAAAACCAAACATACCACATACACACACACACACACTACAGGCCAATATCACTGAGGAACATAGAGGCAAAAATCCTCAAAAAAATACTAGCAATCCAAATCTAACAATACATTAAAAGGATCATACACCAAGATCGAGTCATAATTATCTCAGGGATGCAAGGATTTTTCAATATTCACAAATCAAACAGTATGATACATCACATCAACAAATTGAATAGTAAAAACCATATGATCATCTCAATAGATGCAGAAAAAGCTTTTGACAAAATTCAACACCAATTTATGAAAAAAAAACAACTCTCCAGAAAGTGGACATACATGGAACATACCTGAAAATAATAAAGGCCATATATGGCAGATCTACAGCTAACATCATACTCACTGGTGAAAAGCTGAAAGAATTTTCTCTAAGATCAGGAACAAGACAAGGATATCCACTCTTGCCACTTTGATTCAACATAGTTTTGGAAGTCCTAGCCTTGGAAGTCAGAGAAGAAAAAGAAATAAAAGGAATCCAAATTGGAAAAGAAGAAGTAAAACTGTCACTGTTTGCAGATGACATACTATACATAGAAAATCCTAAAGATGCTACCAGAAAACAACTAGAGCTCATCAATGAATTTGGTAAAGTTGCAGGATGCAAAATTAATACACAGAAATCTCTTGCATTTCTATACACTAACAAAAGATCAGAAAGAGAAATTATGGAAACAATCCCATTCACCATCGCATCAAAAAGAATAAAATAGAAATAAACCTATAAATAAACCTACCTAAGGAGACAAAAGACCTGTACTCTGACAACTATAAGGTGCTGATGAAAGAAATCGAAGACGACACAAACAGATGGAGAGATATACCATGTTCTTGGATTGGAAGAATCAACATTGTGAAAATGACTCTACTACCCAAAGCAATCTACAGATTCAGTGCAATCCCTATCAAATTACCAATGGCATTTTTCACAGAACTAGAACAAAAAATCTTAAAATTTGGGGCTTCCCTGGTGGCGCAGTGGTTGAGAGTCCGCCTGCCGATGCAGGGGACACAGGTTCGTGCCCCGGTCTGGGAAGATCCCACATGCCGCAGAGCGGCTGGGCCCGTGGGCCATGGCCGCTGAGCCTGCGCGTCCGGAGCCTGTGCT